AAGGGGCCGATAAAACAAAAATTCCGGCCCGGAGGTCGAGCATCCGTATAACCACTAACATGAAACCGTATTTGCGGGAAAAAATGTTAAAACCACCCTCCGGCCCCCGAAGGGTCTACACGGCAATATGTTCCATCGAACGTCACTTAGTGGAACGCGTGAGGGAAATTTGAGGAATCACTACGACGGCGCAATATTTAAGTACACTCGTGTAACAGTACAATCGGGGCAATAAAAAAGGTTTTTTATTACTTTTCGACGCGATGCTAACCAGTTCGCTATTGTGAAGGCAAAGCTGTTTTTAGGGTTGCGTCCCCAAAGGGTAAAACGGGACCCTATTACTAAAACTCCGCTGTGTCTGTCTCTCCGTCTGTCACCAGGCTGTATCTCATGAACCGTGATAGTTAGACAGTGGAATTTTCATAGATGATTTATTTCTGTTGCCGCTATACAAATACTAAAAATCAGAATAAAATAAACAAGAAATAAATGGAACGGCACCCTTTGTCCGCGATTCCGACTCTTAATTTGCCGCTTTTTTTCTGTCGAACTAACTCTACTTGGTAAGTTGTGTAGCGGTCACGGATTCGGAAAAAACTTCCGTTTTTTTAAAAGCCAAATATAAAAAAATAATCCATGTTAATCACATTGATGAATCAGAAGACATATTCCATCAGAAGCTGAGTGCATTCAAACGAAGTATTCGAGGCACATAATGTTTTCTTTTTTCTTATTTGTTTACTTTTTATTTAGTTACTTTCAAATCTTTGTCTTTTGGCTTTTTAAATTTATAACTTAATAATGTTTAATTATATCGAAGTACATGCTTCGTGTACATATATTTTTGGCGGACAGTGTGTATAAGTTGCCATTACTAAGATTATTTTTAAGATTAATTGTACTGTTTGCTGCTCTATGTACCAAAAAAAAAATTCAAATACAATGAAAACATTATTCATACATTTTGAAATTTATTCACAAACTTTTTATAAGTGTAGTCTGTATTAAAGATTATGTACGGCAATGAAAGTAGGGAATTCAATTGATTAAATTTCTGAAAGTCAAATATCGATACTTAAGAGTAAGTAATGGTCTATTGTTGGTGAATCGAATTACGTTACGAGTTTTACGAAAATTGTTAAATCAGTAACGGGAGAGCTTTAATGAGAGTCTACAAATTAAATATTTTCTAAATCTGAACACACTTACAGAAATGTTGAAGGAACTTTTCTATTACACAATCTGTCAGTCTTTCGTAGTATGTACAGCGTGGGCGAGGGCAGGCGAATATATTTTTATTAAATAGAATCCACCCCATAACGGCACGATTTTCCTTCAAGCTCCCTTAGGAAAATGTTTGAATTTCCGAAAAAAAATCCCTCCCACTTCGGAAAATGCTTTATTGTGCGCGCAAATTACGCCCAATAGTATATCGGTAACGTTCTTTTATTTGTAAGAGAAATACGTGAACAAGTTCTCATACATAATTTACTTATATTACACCACTTATTGATTTTATAGGAATGTTTCTTTTATTCGACGCTTGAAATAGACTTATACGGTCGGGTTTAAGACTACACAAAGTACCAAACAGACTACAGCATATAAAATTATATATGTATTTGTTTTCTTTCTTTTTTAACTTTTGAAAACATTGCACTTATTGTAGGACAACATTATGCTGTGTTGTAATAACGTTTTACATAGATAAATTTCACGTGGACAAACACTCGGAAGCGAAACTGTTATCTGCAGGTCACACAAATTAGTGTCCGGGGATCAAACCCACCACCCTCGGAGCCATTATCTTAGCAACTGCCACATAGAGTCATCAATTAAGCTCTGGCCACTAAGCCAAGTAGTAAATATTAGATACTAGCTTTTCACCCGCGGCATCGCTCGCGTTGAAACCCTTAAATAAATATCTTACAACACTTTTTTCCAATTAAAAAGTAGCCTATGTCCTTACTCGGGCTCTAGACTATCTGTGTACCAAATTTTATTTAAATCGGTTCAGTAGTTTTGGAGTGAAAGCAAGACAGGCAGACAGAGTTACATTCTGCATTTATAACATTAGTATGGATTTATATTTAGGTACTACTTAGCCAACTTAACTCACGAGAAACATTCATATCAGTACACGACATTACTTAATTCAAAGGACGTAGTCAAAACACACAGTATAAAAATGAAGACGTTGTATGACTGTGAAATGAAATTTTGATTCGATATCGCCATCTATACCGAATTCGGGCGCGTCAATTAAAAATGAAGATGTTGTATTTTCTATGATTGTTCGGAGTTACGCAACCGAACAGCGACATTGTCACTTTGTGCATCATAGGCACATTACACTAACGTACATATGTACGTTTCATGTCTAATTTAAGGGAGTACGCGACTCGCCATCATCCAACCAATACCATATACCATTTATTTATACCGCGTATTCTTTATACCATCTTTATACCATTTACCATACCAATATATATAAGTGCCGATAAACCATTTACCAGAATATTTATAAACTCTCTCCCTGTACAACCTTCTTCAATGATTGTGAAATGAAATATTTAATCGATATCGCCATAAATTCCGAATTTGGGCGCGTCAGTTTTCAGGAATCGACCATAATCACGAACCATGAAGCCACCTAAACAATCTGTTCAAATAAGTCTTAAGCGGCGATCTAACGGCAAAAAGGAGGCGACGCTAATAATCCCCATCAAATAAAACGCCCCATAAATGTATTCCTAGTACCGTCTTAATTACGACGGGCGGCGCTAAAGATTTTACTCCGCGTAAGGGCTCGCACACATTGCGGTAAACGCGTCGTAAAGTCCCAGTTTTACGGCTATCTGAAAAGATTTACCGCCCCACGGGCAGGTTTATTAGACTCTTGTTTTAGAAGAATGCCATTTAGATACTTTACGCAATACTCGGCTTAGTCGCCCTGGTAACTGTAGCTTTGCTAGCAATCCCGTAGTCGTAGTGTGCAAACTACGCGCTTGAGCGCTGTCTCCAGACTGATGTGAAACACGTCGAATCATTTTATTTATTTATTTAAAATTTATTGTATACACCTCAACTTTAGGCTAAACAAAAGGCAAACTTAATGCTAATAAGCATTCTCTTCCAGTCAACCCTGGGAGTAGAGAAAGTTTGACGCAGGTGCAAAACAAAATACGCGAAATAAATTAAAGAAAAATGAATGAAAGAAAACAAAAAAGCAAAGGTACATTCTATAGAAATAAACTTTACTCAAAGATAAATACTTTACATATAATCATGTGTTCTCTAATGAGTTTTCTCTTCTGTTATCTATAGCAATTACAGACCAGTAGTTTTATAATTTTTTTTACTAATTCGAATCGTTACTACATTTAATAAATTTAATTTACGAGTAAATACTCAGACAAACATTTTCTTTTTCTTTTTAAACATTACACTTTCTTTTCTTTTTAAACTTACTATGACGTCATAGTAAGAGTAATTTCAACATTAACGTTACTAACGTAACGGCTGTGATTAAATTCTTTTTATAAATTCCGCTCCTCTACTTACACTATTATGAGTTCCTTCTAATTTGTTAATATATTGCATTTGTGCTATACATTCCTCATAATATGTTGACTCCAAATACTGTGCAAGAAAGGCGGCGACGTTCTGTTGAGTTTCACCACCACACAACTCGTAAAATCCACTTTGTGCAAGCGGTTGTCGCTACCGGTATTTCTGGATCGTAACAACTTAAGAACCTACACGAAGAGAGCCCACTTCCACCTAAAAGGCCATCTAAGGGTTCAATTGTCTGTAATCGGTGGTTATAACTTGGCGCCACTACCATCAGATACTCGCTCGTTTGTTTGCCTGCTTTTCCATAAAAATAGAATGGTATTAGAATAACGCCTCTCACCTAAAGCCAGCTGAATAAATTGGATTTAAAAGGATCACACTAAATTCTGTTCTCGATAAACTTCATTGCTTATTTAACAGTTATCTTTCATGGTGGATTTTTTTTTTTGAAAAATCGATATTGTTTTACTGGTAATTTATTTGGTCGTTTTATAAGTGAAATTAGCAAGTAATAGAAGCGACGAGAAAGCCAGACACCGATTTCTATGAATTGTGTTAACCCTGATGTTGCTTCTGACAAAAGTAAAATAGTTAACTACATATAATAAATATTACCGGATCAATCCACGGAAAAGCTAACTAGTTGCAGAATAATTAATATATCATCTTTTTTTTTGTTTTAGAACAATAGCTAGCTTGGATTATTTCATGCTTACTGAAACTGTGACTCCGACTTTTCAAGTTTGAATCCAAGCGGCTTGTAAGAATGACTTTCTTTAGTACCATTTTTTATATCGTATAGTAATACATACATTTGTGTTTGATGTAGTGATGGTGTGCTACTTTTTGAAAGTTACAAAACTCTATGTCATTATATATTGAAATAGAGATTTTTTTTAATACATATATTAATAATACGTTAAAAACTTTTCCTTTCTGACGTTCAATGAGAGCTTAAGTTAAGCCTTTATTGAATAAAGATATTTTGACTTTGACTTTGAAACCCATTTGAGCGAAACCTTGAATGTTTGATCTGTTGATAGTATTAATACGTCAATTTGTATGCCACGTTTTGAAAGTTCCAAAACTCCATACGTCATTGCATATTGAAATAGAGATTTTTTTTTAATTCAGATGTTAATAATACGATAAAAACCTTCCTTATTTTTCTTATCTGCATTTTAACCCATTTAAGCGAAACCTTTGTCGCTTTGAACGTATAATAAAGTTTTAATCTGAATTTTCTTCGAAGGCAATCGTAGTGTTAATCTACTCGCGCTCAACGAAACAAATGGCATTGTTTGCTATTTTTACATTTTTTTTACGTATCACGCGATATAAGCCACCTGTGGCTCCATAAATCATTATTATTCCGAAAAATTACCAGCGATCGAAGTAATGTGTGCCGTGGAGTGAATTACAAAATGAATTTTAGATCGCTATTGTTTTTTGCAAGTTTTATTGGCATCGAAATATGTTCAGGAGGTGAGTAAGTTCATTTTAACATTTACCTTTAAGTTTGTCCTGCTGATCGATCGAAATCGCCAAAGTACTTTCAATTCTTGTCGCATAATTTTTATTCTACATAAAAACTTTGTAATTTTGTAATAAAAATGTTAGGTCTAGGTTTTGAGATTAATTTCATTTTAAAATATTTACATATTTGTGAATAAACTTACTAAATTAACTGTAAAACTAATGTGTTATAATTGAAAAATAACATACGTTTTGAGAACAAAACATTATTCGTAAGAGAAAAGGTGAAAAGTTTGCAGAGGCGTGTAGATCTAATGGCTTTCAAATTGGTAAGGTAACATTAAAACTACCTGTTATCGAGGGGTTTATTCTGTGAAAAAGTCAAGAAGTTGAAAACTGTATTGGTTCTTTTACCCATAAATTAAAACTTATTTGCGTACTATCAACATATACTTTTGCAAATTCTTGATTTGATACGCCAAAAGGAAAAAAAAAAACTACTAAAGACTGCCATGACGTAAAACTATTTATATTCTTGGGATTTCTTTGCTAATTGATATTTTAAGAAAGTATTAAATAAAGTAATTCCAGACCTGTATTAATAAAAATACGTTATACTGGGCAATACATCTTTTAATGAGAAGTGAGGGACCGATAATACATAAAATGTTAACATACATAATATATTGAATTCAGTGTCGCAATTAATTTATTTCAACACTTAGTATTATGATCAGAGGCTATAAGATTATTTCAATCTGAATACCTGCACTGAAATACCTATGCAGGTGGCATGTGAATTAAAAATAAAATACATTGCTTATTTAAAACGTTATTCAAGTTTTATTTTACTTATTTTCTCAATTAGAAGGCTATATTATTCCAGAGAAACAACGCCACGAGTTTCAATCGCACATGGGACATCTGAACGAGATACCGAAAAGATTCGAGATAAAGGGGGAAAATGCCGGAATCGAGTTTAAAAAGTACATAAGTGACATCACGGACTTGGCGAACAAAGCGAACGTGTCGGTCAAGTACAAGGTCAAGGTTGAAACAATGAAACCAGAGAAGAAATATTACGCGAAGAAGCAGAAATCAAAGATGACGAAATCACACAGGGCCAAGTCGAAGAAATACAATGTACCGCTGAAGAATATGAAGCTCTCCAATTTCGAATTGGTCATGAGGAAGCACGTCGACTCAGCTGCGTCCAGGGCCCTCGAAGACGAGGATCTTGTGACAGCTGCGACGGAGAAGCAGCCGATGGTATTCACCACCAGGTCCCTGAGGATGGGAAAGTACAAACCGGTGATGAGTCACATTAAAACAAACTACACGAAAATCGTGCGGCCTGTACGAAATAAAGTCATCACGCTAACTGCTTGAGTATGAAAGTTAAGATATAAAAATTTTAAAATGAGATTCCAATGTAATAACGATAAATAACAACCAAATTGTATCAACCATTCTTATTCCAACAGATCAGGGATACACTTCGCAATTCATCTTTTTTGCATCACGTTTTTATGTAAAGGAACGGTTATTTATTAAATTTTTTGTACGTTTTATATTATATAAACATTTTTTTACGGAATAAAATATTAAAAAAACAACCGTGTATTATTAACGCTTCGTAGTCAAAAATGCAACGAAAGAGTTCTCAATCTCACCGCAAGGGGCGTCAGATTTTTTTTTTTTTGATAATTTCAGGCCCAATAGCTCTATTCAACATTGTTTTTCAATTGTTATTAGAAAAGGATTAAACAAGTTTCAAAATTAACATATTTTATTCAAAACCCATTTAAAAACAAAGCAACTCTCTGTTTCTCTTTTCTTCAGTTAATTTAAGACGACCTTTGGGCAGTTATAACTCAAGTTAGTTAGTTACTCAGTTATAACGCAAGTAATAGATTAAAAAAATTAGAATACATGTGGTACGATTAATAAAATTTTGTTTTAGTTTATTTCATTTTATTAACTGCAGCGTAAGTATAGTGTTGCCGACACGGGTAGTTGAAATATAAAACATGTATTGAGCTAGCTTCCGCGTAATCAGATCTACTTACGAACGCTCAATGCTGTGCTCCGCTACAACTTGGCCGGAGATGTCTCGCGCGATAGCGTCGACACCTTGATCATGTTCGTAATAGTGTTGTGTAAATAAACTAAATATCGAATGTTTTAAAATGCTGTTATAGATAATTATATTGATGCTAGAATGTGTTTCGTAGGTGAGAGACTCGGAATAGCTTTAAATACCTTGACAGCAAAAAAAATACATATTAATTCCATAAAAGTAAAAAGGCAACAAATCCCAACTACTTTAATTTAGTATATAAACAGTTTATATTTAAACATATTTTAATTCACATTAACACCAATTTTGATTAAACTACGATATTTCTCAATCCATGTCTTCATTCGAAAAACGACCACCATTGCACCACATTGGCCAGAACATTAAAATAATTATTTCATTAAAGTAAAAAATTATAATGAAGGTAACATACATACATACACATACATACATACAGGCCTTTTCATCTGTGTCAGATGTTTTAAGCAGCATCACGGTGACGACACCTGCGTTCATGACTGTACAGGCCTATGCGAGAGAGTATCCCCCGACCGCACTTGCGACAAGTGTATGCTCTCCCAGGTGGGCAAAGATGGGAAACCTGCTCGTGGCGCTTCACGCAATATTAATTTAAAATAACCTAATGTAACTCGCACCCCCCCTTTTATTGTGTATATATAATTATAACTTATATATTTTTTTCCCCCATTATATGAATAAATCATATAACATCATTACGTGACCAGGATAAATTATTGATCTTTCTAAAGGTAATAATTAGCCGTATGAAATATTATTGTGATCGTCATGTTCGGTAGGACCGCATTTACGTTGTGTTTATTTAGTAACTTGATTCTTTTAGGTGTATCTTGGATAGATAAATATTCACTAGTTGCGGTATAAGACAGAGACAATGCCAGATTGCTTTCTTATTAACTAATCCCGACTCGCTTGAGACGGGCTCAGAGTATATAGTATACTCCCTCTCACGCTTGTAAAGGGCTCACAATTTAATTTTAAACTAATATCCCTTCTCTCTTGAAAAGGGCTCACATCAATTTTACATACCCGATACAAGTCAACAGCTCACCCACATTTTAAAAAAATGTAGGGAAGGCACACGGCTCCATGAAAACACTCACCAACGCCGTGTGCGGTGAGCGCCAACCAACATATTGCCCCCCCCCCCCCCCCCCAGAAGAGGGACAAAAAGTTGGGGAAAGGACCGAAGTCCATTGCAAAGCTGTTTTACCAGCATAAAGAGGGCTTGGCCCCTTGGCAGTGCGTAAGCACAAACTTTGACCGAAGTCGCGCATGTCAATGCGTGTAAACGTCATACAAGCCGACGACAAATCCAGTCTTCGTGAATGTACGTCAATACGGTTTTGGGCATGTGTTAAAGATCAGGCACTCTGGCCCTATGATATAATAAGCCCTCCGTAAGCGCCACCACTTTTGCCAGATCGCCGCGACTGCAGACGTGATTGTTAGTGTTTTTTGGCATCACCACCATTAAAAAGGTTAGCACGACATTTCGTCGCAGAGCGCGTTATGAGTCACTGCTCACCCCAAGGGTATGGTTTAAAACGTTGCACGGCATCGCCGCAGCCTTGAGAGGTTTTCTCCCGCCAGCTACCATCCACATGAGGTGAAAAACGCATATGCTCCACCAACCATTGAAATAGTCAGATATAGCCATAGTTGTGATTTTTATGTTTAGCCATCAGAAGGGTTTATAATTGGCAACATATTTATTTGTCAGTGTCTCTGACGTTGAGTATAGTGTATTTTCGATCAAGTTTGTCTCACCCACCAGCAAGTTGCCATTATTCGTTCGAACGGTGGGAACTTTACTGAGATTCGTTAATAATGATAAAACGTATAAAGAGGTCAGACAGTCTGCAGTTCCGTCATCAGGAACCCGACTTGGACAAATCTACTGAGATGTGCATCAAACCGAGACGCAGACTCGGCCATTATGAATAGCGTCGTCTCCCAAGCAAATGTCGCAAGACGCAATGTCACCAAATGCAACATGCATCAATACAACTATCGCAGGTCAACACGCCAACATACAGCCTATCCGCATACACAGCAGACATCATCACCTCGAACCTCCGTCAACCAGAATCATACGATGCAATGATATTAGGCGCAGATCACCCCGCAAATACCACAAGACGCATTACTGCATATAGCCGCATGCATCAATGTGACTATCGCGTAGGTGGCACACCCTCACACCACACCAATATAACTCCAATCAACTTCGGCTCCAAAGTTTTAGAATATACTCGGAACACACGAAGTGTCCAAACATACTCTTTCACGATCCGAATGATAGTCGACGTATCATAGCGTAAACACTAAGACGCCAACCACCAACGGACCCCCACCCAAGCCAAGTAATAGCCAACGTATCATAGTGGAATACACTAAGACGCAAGCCACCACCAGACTCCCCAAAGTCAGATGATCAGTCGACGTATCATAGTGCAAACACACTAAGACGCCAACTACCACCAAACTCTTACTATGCCGAATGACAGCCAACGTATCATAGTGATGGTCACTAAGACGCCAACTACCACCAGCTATCGATGATATGTCCACCACTGAAGACATATCCATTTATGGTTCCACGTTTACCGTAGACCATATCGTCGTACAGAAGTACCACGCAACTCCATAGTAATATGTCTTATAAAGTCCCAAGTCATTCATTGCTCTTCATTATATTTATATATTCATTATTTTTTCTCTGAGCCTTCACATATTATTACTTTTATCCATTAGACCTTACTTCCATATGATATTGGTATGGGACGTTCATACAATGTACTTTGACTATAGTACTAAGAGTCGCGATCGACCTCTGTACTTACATATGTGCGGTCATACAAATGTGTCCCCGCACGGTACATAATACTTCCCTTAGAAATCACTAAGTATGGAATTGTATTTAATTGACATAATAGTGATCGTATCTTGCTATATTTTTAATAAATATCCTTTTTTGAGTATTTTAAGTGATTTTTAACTATTTTTAATCAATTTTTGGTAATATCATTTTCTCATACTAACACTTATTTCTTTAATTTAAGTATATATCATTAACTTTCATTGTGATTAAACGTTCTTAAACGTTTTATTTTCACCTTAATTGATATTTATTATGACTAATTAATAATAATATTTATTATTATTAATAGGTCGTTACACTAAGATATTATCGATATCCAAAAATTGTAAGAAAATCACTAGTGCATTGCACGTGAAGATGTTGATGGTATCGCAGTCGCTTACGTTTATAGAGCCGAGTATAGGAACTGATTCTCCTACTAATGTTAGATTCTAAACCCTATCGAGTATGTATAAATTTTTCAGTTGTATCTTAGTTGTAATAATTGGTAAAATTTTAGCAAGCCACTACTTTGATACAGCAAAAAATAATAAAAATTAAACGATAGAGAAATGATGATAATAATCAGTAATAAAATTCGGCAGAATTCGGTAATCACCTACAGTTTTCGAGAAAAAACATAATTAAATTTTGATATTTTCACTAAAGAAAACCGCCATTACTACGCGTATACATTTTTATTTACTTTGTTAGATGATACAGTGATATAATATACTTAAAATTAATTCACAAACACATATTTTTTTAATTGGCGAACACGCATTATCAACATTTTCTAACATTTAAGGCTAAACTTTAAACATAAAATCGTAAACCAATTCAATAACAACAACATACTACACATTAAATACTACTGATAATCAATTATTTTACATATCGATTGAATATTACAACTTTAAATCGATTATTAGCTCAATTAAAAAGTTTCAGTTAATAAAATTTTTGATTGTAAATTTAGGATTGCTCATTGTCAAGGTGACAAAGCTACGTATTCAAAATTTTTCTTATTCCTCATTTTTAAAGCCAAATTTGGCTCTAAAACCGATGAAAGTTCAGTTTTAAAATCTCAAAGACTCCGATTTAAGAAATAAATTTTGCATTTCAGTATATTTTTTTGGCCAACGAAAACAAATTCTCTGCGATCGAAGTCAGGAACGTCAGCTGTCAAACGCTTGAAAATATGTTGTCTTGGATTTTGTAATAAAACCTGGGGAGTACTGTAATAATTCTTATATTTTAACCTAATTTGTCGCCCCAGATATGTATTTGTATTTGTTTTCAGCTTCCACGTCCACGCCTCGCTGCCGTGTTAAGAGCCAATGGTGGTCGTCGCGAGGCTTCCTCGTCGTGCCTTTTAGTGACTTTTAGTGACCTTATTTTAAT